GATAAGGAGCTAAGGCAGCAATCAAGGTTTGAGACAAGCAATCATAGTGGACTGGCGGAGGAAGGCAAAGGAGGGAAAAGCCTGTCGACGCCTATTATGGTGGTTTTCGAAGACCTGGGCCATTCAGAACCAGCTGGTGGGCTATCATCGCTCGCGTGGGTTAGCCTTCTCCAACTGGCTGTTAGAAGGAGGTTAGTAGAATAGAACGAACCAGGGCATCTCAGTTCGTGGTTCAGACCGCAGGAGGTCAAATTAGGGGAGGAGGGTGGCAGAGTGCCATGGTAAAGAGGAACTCTGTTCCAATCGGTCAGGTGTAGACCGGTGTCAGGCCGTCGCTATGCCTGTGAAGGGGGGCGTAGGTAGCCACTTAGTTGAGTAGGCAGTAGCAGGTTAGGAGAAATGGTGGTAGAATCTGGAGAGAATGTGAAGAAATAAGAGAGAGTGTATATGCTGTAAAGGTCTGTCAATCGACTGTCCGTAGGGAAGTCTGGATACCTGTCGGAAGGAAATGAAGTATGATTGCTATGTTGAAAAGTGACAGCTTTAGATGAGTAGAAGGTTACCGATAAGCTAAACCGGCTGATGCTGCCGGGATAACACCGGGTTGAATTGTGAGGTCCCCGGCCTCCCTTGCATTGTTTGGAATATAAGAGAGTGAGTTTATGGAAAAAAAAAAAAAAAGTCCGGCCTGTTGATATGGTCCAGTTTGACTAGCACAAGTGACCGTCCAACGTCTTCATAGTAGGCCTTCTCCAAGTTGATTCCTGGTTGCTGTTAATGTCTAGGGCAACAATCGCAGTCGTTAACGACTCATTATACTAGTATCATAAATGGAGTGCCCTTTCAAAAAATGGCCCCGGTTCTCCACCCACCAGTTTTGGCAGGGAGTGTCCAAGCGTCCAGCGAGGGACAAGACAAGCTTAAAGGCCATGGTCTTACCTCATAGTTTGTAGGACACGTCACGGTTCAAGGGAGTTCGTCTCTATTTAATTTGTTGTCGATGGTTTCAACTGACCTATCGAAGCTTCATTTCTCAGCTAGGAGCTGTCACTTTGCTGTGTTAGGCCGAAAGCTCTAAGATCTGTTTATTGTCTGTATAAAAGTGTAAGGGTAACGATTTAGCTCGTTAGTTCCTCTTTTCGGATTTACGCTTACCGCCGCAGCATTCCGGGATGCCGTTGAGTAACAGAGGAGTGTTGGGCGAATCGTTTGGATGTAACAGTTGCTACGAGGGTGCAGGGGAGGATCGGTGAGAGTGTCCTTCCTTCCCCAATTTCAATGGCATAGCAGAAGAAACCATCATGGCCCTGATTAAACCACCAGTATTGACAGCCCCTCCGCCCCGACTTCCCTCCGTAAGAGTCTCCTTCCTTTCCCAATTTTAATGGCATAGCAGAAGGAACCATCATGGCCCTGATTAAACCACCAGTATTGACCGCCCTCACGGCCCCGACTTCCCTCCGTAAGAATCCCCTTCCTTCCCCAATTTCAATGGCATAGCAGAAGGAACCATGCCCCTGATTAAACCACCAGTATCGACCGCCCCCTCGGCCCCCACTTTCCTTCAGAAGCCTCAGCATGTCCATCAAGAGGGCTTTGGCACTCGGAAGAAAACTCAGTTCAGACTCTTCAGAGTGGGTACCTGCATCTTCACAAGGGAAAATCAGTAAGAGCCTCCTTCCTTCCCCAATTTCAATGACATGCTCCTGATTAAAGCACCAGTACTGACTGCTAGTGGCCCGCACCCCGTCCAAAAGTCTCAGCGTATAGTACGCCGTATAGCCATTGCAAAATGAAAGGCTTGGCCTGCTGGAGCCAAGGTGGGTACTAGGGGGGGTACACCATTCCAAGCACCCCAACTTTGGAGATTTTTAGTTCGCGTTTCAGTTCAGATATTAAACTTCCAGAACGAATCTGATTCACAGATGTAATGTATGTTCTTTCATATCAGTAACAACATTACAAAATAAAGGAAAACGTCTTCTTCATCCACGAAAAAATATTTGTGCCAAATCAAATGCAATATGTCGATCGATCCAAGCCGCTGCGACGGAGTATGCCTGCCATTTCAGGCTGGGTCACCCAGGGTTGGTAGATTTTTAAGGTTCGAGTTCGGTTGACAAAATGGGTGGGTTCCGCAGTACTGGAGGTTTAAACCACCAGTACTTGGCCCAGCTATTGGCCATTGAAAAAAAAAAAAATAGAGTAGAAACATTTCTAGTTGGATGAATTTGGGCGCTCCTGTAGTGGCCCATACGTTTCCTAAAAACATTGTGGCTCGTTAACGGGCACGACTTCAGCAAGTACTGGTGGTTTAATCTTAATCACTGGATTGATCGTTCTGAGAATCTTCACTTCGTAAGTTTGTATCATACTTGCGGCGCATTGAGGTGCCCGCCTCGCGCACCGCACCGCGCATCGCAACCGATGCGGCGCAAAAAAAAAAAAAAAAGAGGTCCGCCCGAAAAGAAAAAAAGCGCAAGGCCTCTCTCTCTCTCTCTCTCTCTCTCTCTCTCTCTCTCTCTCTCTCTCTCTCTCTCTCTCTCTCTCTC